GTCTCGTCTTATCTCACTTCTTGTGCACAGGCACACAGATGCCTGAGCCCCAGTCATTAACAACGGCCTCGTCTCTCCATGCTTGTACAATCACCTCACGGAGCCAAGGCGCCAGAGAGTCGACACGAGACTTGTATATTTCAGCGGGTATGCTGTCCTCCCCAGGTGCCTTTTTTGTTGCGCAGCCTTTTGATGGCATCAACGATTTCTTCTTCAGAAGGGGGTCGCATGACACTAGATAAGTGAGAGATGAAGAAGGCTCGGTTGTAGATGGGAGCAGGGGAGGGGTGGGCTCCGTGTCAGAGTCGAAGAGTTGCTCGAAATGCTCACGCCAGTGTTCGATCTTGGTCGCGTTGTCAGCAATAAAGCCGTTATTCACATCACGATCTGAGTCACTCAGTAAAATCAGCTTACCACTAGCCTTGCAAATAAGTTGAGAGAGCTTTCGAGTATCATCAACATTCGAGGCCTGCTCCACGGAGGTTGCTATTTTTTCTCAGTATTTATTCCGGTCTTCTCTGACAGATTTTGCTGTCTACTTTCTTAGTTGATAGAATGTATCAACATTACGGCTCCTAGCTCGGGCTGGTTCCGCAGACAACTGATTGTAAAGGAAGTCGAATGCATTCATCGAATCGGATATTTATTGTTTTTAAATTACTTAAAAAGCATTTAGCGAAAATATCATGAGCTTTACCCAGATGTTAAGTCGCTGAAGATAATGATCACATGCGAGCGCAACCATAAATCTCTATAACAAGCGAGCATTTTAAAAGTAACCGCGTACCTATTGTATAGACCAACGTAGTTAACATTTCCAGATAAGACACTTGTCAGTTGTTGCATTAAATGCAAACCTATTGAAATTTGTAATCTAGTATGAATTACAAAACTAGGTCTTTACAAAAACGAACACTAGAAAGTGGGTCATAACGTAAAATTTATTATAAGATAGCAATCTGAAAGTTGAAGAGAAGGAAGGAAAAATTATAATTATATTAGCGCTTTCGTTGATCACCGTGAAGATAAAAACGAGTCAAAATACCTCACGGTTTCTTCTGAGTAGAGAAACACCTTGGCAGATATTCGTAAATCTCTCAATGCTTCTTCAGTTTCCGAATTTTTCTTAACCGAAAGGTATATAAAGTCTGGTATGACCTCCAAAGGATAGGTAATCTCACATTCGATTTCCTAAAAGAAATGAACACTCAATGCATAATCACCCTTGGCAGATAAAGGATCTTTTGGGTGCTCATAAACGGGTACAGTTTTGTGAAATATCGGTAGCCACCTAGTAATTGTGGAACATTGGCTGAGTCCTACCCCTAAGGACCCTGACTGCACAGAACGCGCCATTATTCATCAAAAAATTTCGGGCAGCTGCGACGTGACCTGAAGGAAAAATGATCATAATTGGTTACTCACTGTCAATAGGGAGATTGAACGTGTCTTGGTCATAAACTATGATATTCCATTTCCATTCCAAGCCGATCCCGAAGGGCAATTGAAATTTGTTTTCACTGTTCTTGATCAATAACAACGGGAGTAATTCCTAACCATTTTCAAGTTGATAGCATGTCTTATGTGGGCTTCGTTGTACTGTTCGGGCTTTCTCACATCTCTCAATGGGCTTAGATTTAAGTGGCTTACCAATGAGAAGAATAAAGTAAGGGTCACTCAGGTACGCATTAAAGACGACTTGGTTAAGTAGATTGTACAAAGTTCGGGCCTCAATATATTTTCCCATAGTGCACGGCCGCGTTCAGTTCAGCTAAAATCAATTTTTGCAGGCGGAAGCATCGTGAGTATTTAAAGTTATATTTAAAAATTAAATAATTAAATACCCTGCCAGCACAGACGATGTAGGAAAACGGGGGTAAACAGGGATATGTGGGGGTAAACGGGGATGAAAATTTTTGATTAAATGAATATATTGAGAGAACGCATTTTTATAACTCGACTTTTTATCAATAGAGTATTGATAACTTTATTCTTTAACATACTTATTAATTTGGAGGCTTAAGAATGATAAAAGGTATTATAATAGCTGAACGAAAGTAAACTGGGTAATAAATTAAAGGGACAAAATATAAGTATGCTATTATTTATTCTGATTTCAATATGAATATAAAATCGAGAAGTTCCAAAAAATATAATTTTATGGAATAAGCTTTCCTAAAGATTACTTGCAGAATATTTATATGATGGGTTAAACCGTCAGCTTAACACGTCAACCTGGGTTTAAATTATTCAATTTATACCATAGCATTCCATATTCCGCTTGAGCAGGTAGTCGCTATTTAGGGACTAAGTAGTAACTAGATAATAACAACGCGAATAATATTAATATCAAAGTAATTACTAGTCAGGTCCAAGTTTAATATACAAAAAACGCGCATTAAAGCGCGCGTCTTCAATAACCTTGAAGTGCCATAGTTACAGGTGTTCGAGGCAAATAAGGCTTTTAAAATGCTGGTCAAGGTTGCAGCTAAGGCTAAATATTGAATCGCCCAAATAATTTCGCGCTTTTCCAACGAAACACAGAACGATTCTCAAAGAAAGTTCAATTGTTACATATTTAAATGACAGGTTAATGCGGATATCAGGGAGCGGTACGGGAGCAATGCGAGGAGTTTGAAAATTTCCCATTCCCACTCCCACTAACACACAATCTACAATATTATAAAGGTAAAGGCAATGAAATAATGCAATGTTATGTGAAGGAGAATAAATACCCAACCAAAAGGTAAACGTGCAACTAGAGTTATGGACTGCAGATCAAGCCGACTATCATGCCATTGGTAATCTGCATGCGGCGACGCTCGAATAAGTTTTGTGGAACGACGCTTGCGAGATAAATTAATAGCACGGGCGATGGGGCAGTTGAGTTTTGGAACTGCGAGTCATATTATTTTGTTAAATAATCTGATAATTGGAATAGTATCCAGAATTGTAGGCCTTTTCAGCTTAATTTTTAACTGATTTTGAACGTCCCCGATGTCTGCTTGACCAGCCCATCCCTGAGAATTTCATCAATGAATTATATTGGTTTGTTTTCAAAAATACTGTGGTAAGTATGCCCCTTTATTTAAAATATGTAATATACCAATTAGTTAATGAGTGCCCTGAATTAACGCTCTTCCATGTAACCGTCGAGAAGGTCAACATTGACGTATGCTTTGGGTGCAATTTATCCCTGATGGGCGACACAGCGATAAATAGTAATGCGAACAATGCGGAGAAAGAAACTGAGGGTACTGCGCCTCCAGCGAACGGAGTGCCACCAGATGAAGGACAAAAAGGAGAAGAGCCACAGGCCCAAACTAATGAGGAGAAACCTAATGAAGGCGAGAATGAGCAGACAGAGGCAGATGGCGAGAAGAACAACGAACCTGATAATAACGAAGCAAAAGAAAATGATGCCGACGAGTTGTCCCATGATGCAAAACAGCGCAAATCTGTCAGCAGTGCTGCTGAACCAAAAGACACTTCGGCGGAGGAATATATTTTTGAATGTACAAAGCGTGGTGTTGTCCCACTGGGTTATTATATTAGACACATCCAAGAGAGTGAATTGACCATGCGGCACGCAGACATAAGCCCAGAAGATTTTAAGCCGCTCTCCATTAGCTTATGCCAGAGCAAATTCATTACTAACCTCGATCTTAGCCACAACTGGTTAGGCGATGAAGTAAGTCATCATATATATTAAGATTTACATCTAAAGTAATAGATATTTGTACATTTTATGCATTTTTGTACCAGAATATTTTTTTGTGATTTAAATTTGTTCTTGCATTCCACTGAGGTGGTCAAATCACAATTTGCCGTCGCATCACTTGATTTTCTTTTCCCGGCTTGCGAGCGCCGCCACGACTTGCCCTGTCTGTATAATAATTACTATATATTCGATTTTTCCTAAAAGATGAGGGCCGTTAGAAATTTTTCCAGTTGCGAATGTGTTATATTTGCGCAAAACCTTCATATACCTCAGCCTGCTTCTTCAGTAGTCGCAGTCAAACCAGAGTAATTAACAGGGGGTTCAGCAGATAGTATATTGGGTGACTTCCAACAAATTTAACGTGTTCTCAAAATAAGTCTTGATCGTTGATTTTTTGTCCAAAGTATATTCCAACGTTTTAGCAATTTAATTTTGCTTGCGAAGGATGAGTGTGAAGCAGGTATAGAAGCATTTTAATATGCAAGCTTTCCTTCCGAGTTTAGGTGGATGCCGCTGTCTTGCGGGTGTTAGTCTTGTCAAAGAATACTTTAATCGTGCTAGAATTCTTTGCTACAAAGTTGTGATTAATGGACTACTGCAGGTTTTTTGTCGAAAAATGAACAGGTGCGACCAAAAATAAACAGTTTTAATATCTTCTCAACTTAAGGCCGCTGTAATTTTTCTATCTGTTTTCCATTTGCCTTCGGTAAATGATCAATGTCAACTGAATAAATACATGAACGATTCATTTTACTTCGAACATGTAGTTTTGAAAGATATATGAAATACCGGAATTAATCTTAACGATAATCTTCCTCGTTTCCATACCCTAAGTTATGGAAGCGGACTCTAGGTTTTCATGCTCAAATTTATCCTAAATATTTGCGGAACAACGTTTGAATGAGAACAGGTTTGGATTTTATGAAGAATGATAGCTCCAAATATGGATCAAATAGGTGATTTGTGAAATTTAATTTAATTTCTGGGCTACTCTAACATGTCTATAATTCTGCTCTTGCCCTAGAAAGGTCCAATTTATATTGATATAAGCACGATGAACTATACTCACTTTACGGTCTCTAAATCATCATTTTGTGTATAGACTCAGTAAATAAGTTGCGCTCTTTGCAGTGCCCTGGTTGTTCTTAATATTCATACTTTTAAATCAGACTTAACTGAATACATGCATATATGACTGTTTTATTAGTTTTTCTTTAATTTGCTTATCAACTGGCTTTTAGACTTTAAGTCACCTAAGTAGATTTTAGCATAACTAAAAAACATTGAAAGCACGCCTCAGTTTTTATAAGCCACAATGGTTTACCTATATGTGGAACAGAGGAGTTGTTCACACGGGATACCCTGGCAGGTTTATAAGCGGTAATAATCCGAGTTACTCGTTGCCGGTTTTGATGTCCTCTTATCCACGGTGGTTGTAAAATTTTGCATCAAATGATAAGATTTTTTCAGACGACTTGGGTATTTGGGTAAATAACAGTTCTCCCTATATTCTGAAGTAGATTACATTTGAGGAATATCTTCTTATCTTTTTTTCCCTTAGAAGGGAGCCAACGAAATTCCTTCATATATTTATTTATTTAAAAGTACAATTACCACAGCGTCCTTAGCTAAATAGGTTTAAGTTGTCTCTGAATACAGTACTTTGTTTTACGTTTTTGATTTTCTATGTTTGGTCACGCTGAATCCAAATATTTTTGTAAACTCAGGTTTTCTAACTTTTGTCCAGTCTACTGGATGGCATATTCGTCCATTAAAATAAATAACGTTTCGAACTTGGCCTACCTTTCTCTTGTGCAGCGTAAATCAAAATAATATTTTTTCAATGGCTTCAGCATATACTTAAAACGACATTCTTTAAAAGAGGGTGGCTTGTGTAAGTAAGGAAATACCTTGAATTAAATTATTCATTTTTAATCCAAAAATATTCAAAACGTTTTGTAGTATCCATTCTGGCTTTCATAAGTTTTTTGAACACAGTATTTGCGTAAACTTCAACTACGGCCTACTAGAACTCTTAAAATAGTTAAAAGGAAGCGGCTTAGTAAGTTTTAGTACTCAGTTATAACTGCATTCACAAGACTTCGATTCTTCATTTCAACTGATGCTTTCTAAAAAAATAACTTCCCTTCTATCTAATAGAGCGTCCCAGCACTGTGTCAAATGTTTTCTGAAAACACGTTTATTGAGCATTTATCGCTGGCGGATAATCATTTTACGGATGCAAAGACCGAAGAAATGTGCGACACCCTTGCGTCTGTAGCTCAGTTAACCAGACTAGATCTGAGCGAAAATGGTTTCGGCGACGAATCGGCAGCCTTCTTTTCGGACTTAATGGCCGTAAGTCTTGTCGTTTAGTAAAATTTTGTCGGTTTCAAAATCCTAAATTAACGATGCCGCAATAATTTTTAACTGTCTATCTTAAAATATGTACAAAAAATAGACTCTTACCGATATTCCAAAATAATAAAAATTACAAAGTATTTTTATCTGAAGTCTAAACTAGTAGCGATCATTTTATGGCTAATCGTTTTTGTAAAAAGCAAACTTTTTCCTTATCCGTCTCTCATAATTTGCAACTAAACGATGGAAAATGCCAAAAACTATTTTATGCTTTTATTCTATTTCCAAAATCGATAATATTGTTTTACGATTGATAGAGAATTTCACTTTTCAGTTCTTCACCTAGAAAGAAGCACAGCGAGTTATAATTTGATTTCCTGCCTGATAACTGTTATACCTACATGATTTTTAGTCAAACTGGGTCCCTTTTAAACGGGGCTTTGTATCCTTAATGAAATGATGTTTTTTAATCTAAGTAAATCGGACTTGATTTGAAAGCTCGTAGCTTCTATATCTTGTAATTTTATATAGATATAGCATACGTGTGTATATAATACGTAATAAAATTTATAAAAAATTGCAGAATATAAGACGTGCTCAACAATTAACTTCACCCTTTATTCTTTTATACTGGAAGTGGCTAAACCGAAAGGATACGCTTTCCTCAGGTATAACATTGGACGGATGTATAATTTTTTTCTGCAGAAGTTTGCATGAATAAAATACCTTCGTGTTTGTTTTTCACAAAGTACAGTTGCATTTAGAAGGGCCTTTAAAATCAGTGAGAAAAATGCATACCATCTAAGCAGGCATTTTTTCTACAGAATTTACATTAAGTAGGCAATTATGAAGTTCTCTCTAAAACTGGCATTATGACGTGAATAAAGGATCCCGGGACTAGACTACAGGAGCAATATACCCGAATAATTTGTTCGAGTCCAAAATTCATTTAATGAGGTAGGAAATCTACTGTACTCTGGTTGACTTACTGTGTGAAGAACGGATATTCTGCTGTTGGGGTTTGTCAGTCTTGATCTCTCGCCATTCGTAGCCTAAGGATCCGGTAGATTTACTTCTATCAGCAGAACTCCATGAAAGGCACAATGTTTCCCTCTCGACCCTTGAATATCACAAAGGCAGATCTCATCACAGGATTACAACTTGTCGTTGATGGTAAGAGCTTTGTTTCGCACTAGAACCGGCCGTTAAGAAAACTAAGCTGCTTCAGGCCATTGCAAACTGTCCTTCTCCCCCCCCTGGATGACCGTTCACCTGACCACTAACGGAACTCATCTGTCCCGCTCTGCCCAGGGCCTCGTCAGAGGCCCTGACAGCCGTAGCAGCTGGAAGTAGGCAGATTGTGTTACCGGCAAAGACAAGAGAGGCTAGAATGGTCATTTCTGGCTTATTAGCCGTCGTCAGCCAAGCATGCCCAGACCCAATTGGTTTTCCACCGGAGCCTCGAACTCGTGACCTTTTTCATTAAAGTCAAACGCCCTAACCATTGAGCCACGAGCTCGTTCTCCTGCCGATTTACGGCAGGGTATATTGACACTCATTGATGAACGTTCATCCGTCCACTAACGGAACTCATATGTCCGGCTCTGATCAAAACATTTGCGAGTTCGGGGCTCGGGTGGGGCACCACTTGGGTCTGGATATGACTGGCTGACGACGGCTCATAAGCCAGGAATAGCCATTCCAGTCTCCTTTGTCTTTGCTGGCAATACAATCTGACTTCTTCCAGCTTTTACGGCTGTCGGGACCTCTGTCGAGGCTCAGAACAGTTTCCGGATAGATGAGTTCCGTTAGTAGTTTTTTCTGTATTTCCAACTGCGGCATACCTGACAGTTATAGGTGTTTGCGTAC